AGTGTTCTGTAGTTTCATTGTACAGGTCTTTCACCTCTTTTGTTGATTCCCAAGTTTTGTTTTTTGAGGCTATTGTGAATGGAGTAGTTTTCCTAATTTCTTTTTCAGAAGATTCATCACTGATGTATAGAAATGCGTTTGACTTATGGGTATTGATTTTATATCCTGCTACTTTGCTGAATTCATTTATTAATTCTAGAAGTTTTCTGGTGGAGTTTTTTGGATCCTCTATAGAATCATGTCGTCAGCAAATAATGATAGTTTGAGTTCTTCTTTTCCTATTTCCTATTTTCATATTCCTTTAATTTCTTTCATCTGTCTAATTGCGCTGGCTAGAATTTAAGGACAATGTTGAATAGGAGTGGTGAAAGAGAGCATCCCTGTATTGTTCCAGTTTTTAGAGGGAGTGCTTCCAATTTTTATTATAGTTCTTGGAATTGAATAGATTAGTTCCTCTGCTTTATTTGCAAAATTATTTTAGTTTGGGTTAGTTAGCTGCTCAGCACATGCTGAGCATATATATATATATATATATATATATATATATATATATATATATCCACACACACACACAGAGAAGAAAAAGTAGTTTTGGTTATTCTAATTCCTTTGCCTTTTAAAATAAAATTTACAAAAACAACCTTGACAGGCCTTTGATAGAATTGTGTGAAACCTGTGTGTCAGTTTGGAGGAGAATTGCCATCTGAACTATTTTGAATATTCCAATCCGTGAACATGATATGTCTCTCCATTTATTTAAGTCTTTTTCAGTTTTTCACATCAACATTGAAAACTTTTCTCCATATCAATCTTGATATATTTTGTTGGATTTGCATTCATGCATTTCATTGTTTTTTGAGTGATTGTGGTTTTAATTTCTATGTGTAAATCTTCATTGCTAATCTATGGAAATATGATTAATTTTTGTTTATCTTATGTCTTGCGAACTTACTTGGAATATCAAGAATTGTTTTTGTTCTTGTTTTATTCCATGGGATTTTCTACATACACTTTTATATCATCTGTAAATTGAGGGAGCTTTACTCCTTCCTTTCTAATCTGTATTTTTTTTATTCTTTTGCATTCCTTAATACAGTGACTAGAATTTCTAGTATTCTGTTGAATAAGAGTGGTGAGAGTGGAAATCCTTGCCTATTCTTGTTCTTAGTGGGGAAGAATTCAGTCTCTTACTATGTTGCTAAAATCATAGCTGTAGACTTTTTATGGATGGTCTTTCTCAAGTTCAGATAAACTCCTTGCTCTTTTTAATTGAAGAGAGACTTTGTTTTGTTTTAATCATGTATGAGTGTTAGGTTTTATAAATACTTTTTCTGTGTCAACTGAAAAGATTATGTGGTTTTTCTTCTTTAGTTTATTGACATGGTGGATTGCACTAATTGATTTTTAAATGTTGAACCACCCTTGCATACCTGGAAAAAATCCTACTTGGTCATAATTTTTATACATTATTAGATTTGGATTACTAATATTTTATTGATTTTTTTTGCACCTAAGTTCGTAAAAACACTTATGCAAATTATTTTTGTTTGGGTTGGGGCTGTATCTCAGTGGTAGAGAATTTGCCTAGCACATACAAGACTCTGTGTTCAATCTCCATCATTGTAAACAAACAAATAAAATATAAATTATCTTTGTCTGGTTTTGCCATCAGGGTAATACTAGCCTCATAAAATAAGTTGGAAAGTGTTCTTTCCTCTTCTATGTATTGAAATAGTGTGTGTAAAGTTTGTGTTAATTCTTCTGTAAATGTTTGGTAGCATTCTCTAGTGAAACATCTGGGTCTGAAGACTTAATTTTTGAGGGCTTTTAAAGTATATAATTGAAGTATATTAATGAATAAATTATATTAATACATAATTTTTATTATATGAAATGTAGCCTTACATTTATGCAGCTTCATATTTCCAAAATAGTTTTTTTTTAATTTTCCCAGAGGAAGGATGTCAGAGGAGACCATGCTTCACCCTCCTGTCCCACCCCCACCCCCACATGGCCTTTTTCCTTTCCATCTCTTTGATGATTTCAAAGTGAGGAATTGGGAGGTCAGGAAGCCTCCTTGTGGGTGCCCCAGGTGTTTCCTCATAGGGCTGACTGTGGCTAGTACGTGTGAGATGAAGATGTATCACCAGTGTCCTACATTAGAGAAGAGGCAAGGGAATCAGATGAGGTGTCCCCAGAAGCCCCCTGGCCCCATTTCTTTGTGATAAGAGGGCTTGATAACAAACAGCAGGTGCCAATATGGAGATAGGCACAGAGGGCCCCAGCTGTCCCCTCACTCCACTGTGCTGTCGATGTTATCACTGTGATTATAACAGCAAAGGGAGGCAGGTGTTGGGCATTAAAATAGGAGCATGTAAAATGAGAAGAGAGGATTTCAGTAGACAGTCAAGATCACTCTGGTGTTACCTGCAAGGTTGCACTTTGGGGTACCCAAAGTCCTTATGAGAGTAGATTCAGCTTCACAGGCTTCTTTCATTCTGAGCCAACCATTCTTGGTGCACCACACACATCTATGTGAGCAGATGTCCCAGATTGGCTCATGGCCTTGCAATTGCTCTGGGGTGGAGTCTCTAGGCTGGCTTAGCACCTCTTATGACTGGACTCACTTCATAGCTGACCTGAGCCTACACTCCCCACCTGGAAGCTGATGCCCCATTTTGTACTGTTAGAGGTCATGAAGAGTTGTGCTTTCATACCAAATGTTGGCATGAGCAGGAGAGGAATGTGACAAGAAGCTAGCAAGAGCCTGCATGGGTTTGCCACAAAGGAGTGGGAGGCTCAGGTTAATTCAAGTTGCTTAAGGTGACATAGCACATGACTGCATCAAAGCCTGGAATAAGGACCTGTCATAAGCAATATCCTTCAGGGTTAATGTCCAGAATATATAAGGAATTCAAATAGCAAAACAAACAAAACACCCAAATAATCTGATTTAAAAAATGGATAATAGATCTAAATAGACATTTATTTTTTTAAAAAAAAACACAAATGGCTAACAAGTATATGAAAAATGTTCAATATCATTAATCATAAGGTAAATGCAAATCAAAACCACAATGATTTAACACCTCACCCCAATAAGAGTGACTATTATCAGGGTTGGGTTGTAGCTCAATGGCAGAATGCTTGCCTAGCATGTTTAAGACTCTGGGTTTGATTCCCAGGACAGACCAAAAACAAATGTCTATTATCAAAGAGATTAAAGATAACAAGTACTGACAAGGATGGGAATATTTGCACACTATTGTTAGGAATATAAATTAATATAGTGACTATTGAAAACTGTGTGGAGCTTCCTCAAAAAATTAAAAATAAGACTACCATATGATCCAGCAATCCTACTACTGGGTATATATCCAAAGGAAATGAAATCAGTATGTTGCAGAGATATCTACATTCCCGTGTTCATTGCAGCACTATTCACAATAGACAAGAGATGGAAACAACCTAAATGTACATCAACTGATAAATTTATAAAAAGACAAAACTGTGGTACATATACAGTGGAATAATGTTTGTCTATAAAAAGGATGAAATTATTTCATTTGCAACATCGTGGATGGAACTGGAGGATATTACATTAAATGAAATAAGACAGACACAGAGATATTACATGATCTTATTCAAATGTGGGATCCCAAAACGTGGATCTCATAAAGATTTAGAACAGAGTGGTGATTACCAGAGCATGGGGGGATTAGGAGAGAGGGAGGGAAGAGGAAACAGTTTGGCCAACAGGTACTAAATTATACTTAGATTTGAGAAATTCTGATATTCTGAATGGCAGCTATTATGAAGACAAACAACCATAAGTGTTGGGGAGGATGTGGGGAAAAGGTACACTCATACATTGCTGGTGGGACTACAAATTGATGCAGCCAATATGGAAAGCAGTATGGAGATTCCTTGGAAATCTGGGAATGGAACCACCAGTTCACCCAGCTATCCCTCTCCTCGGACTATACCCAAAGGACTTAAAAACAGCATACCTCAGGGACACAGCCACATCAATGTTTATAGCAGCACAATTCATAATAGCTAAACCGTGGAGCCAACCTAGATGCCCTTCAGTGGATGAATGGATATAAAAAAATGTGGCATATATACACAATGGGATTTTACTCAGTAATATGAGAGAATAAAATCATGGCATTTGCAGGTAAATGGATGGTGTTGGAGAAGATGATACTAAGTGAAATTAGCCAATCCCCCCCCAAAAAAATGCCGAATGTTTTCTCTGATATAAGGAGTCTGACTCATAGTGGGGTAGGGAGGAGGAGCATGGGAGGAATAGATGAATTCTAGATAGGAGAGAGGGGTGAAAAGGAAAGGGAGGGGGCAGGGGATTAGCAAGGATGGTGGAATATGATGGACATCATTAACCAAAGTACATGTATGAAGACACAAATTGGGTGTCAATATACTTTATATACAAACAGAGATACGAAAAATTGTGATATATATGTGTAATAAGAATTGTACTATATAAAGACATGAATTGGTGTGAAAAAAATTCTGATATTCTATTGCACAGTAGAGTGAGTATAGATAATGAAAATGTATTAGATATTTCTAAAAGGCTGGAAGAAAGGACTTTGGATGTTTTTTCCCCACAAAGCAATAATACATGTTTGAGGAGATAGATACTGATTTGAACATTACTCAGTATGTGTGTGTATCAAAGCACCATGTGGTAGGTGTACCATAAATATGTACAATTTTTATATGTTTGTTAAAATAAGTACATACATAACATGCCTATATAATAGGCTTTGGTTTTCTCATTTGTATAGTGGATGAACCAATGGTCCTTAGTCCCAGTAGGGTAAAATGAGGATTAAAGGAACAATCTAGCACATAGCTTAATAGAATATAAGATCTTGCTTAAGATTACCCATTATTATTGTTAATATGCCCTTTTATCACAAAGGCAGAATTATAATTATGGTATCCAAAACTTAGCATTAGCACAAGTATGATAAAATTAGAGTTGTCATCATTCATAAACCTGTGTGGCCTTTCACTGGATGCTACCAGTCTGCAGCTGTGGTATTCCCCTATGTCAGCCACCCCTCAGCCTTCCTCTCTGCCTTCACCCAGATGGAGTGGCCAGTCTGCCTGCCCCTCAGAACCTCTCTGTGCACTCAACCAACATGAAGCATCTCTTGACATGGAGCCCAGTGATCCTGCCTGGAGAAACAGTACACTATTCTGTTGAGTATCAGGGGTGAGTGGTTTTTGTTGTTTGAATAATTTTTCCTCCCTCAGACAGCAATTGGTTCCTGGAGACACAGCCCCTTCCTTCTTGGCTCAAGGAGGCCTTGTGAGCCCAGGGATGGATTATCTCCAATGATCTGCCCTCTCTGTGTGAGTGGGCATTGAAAGAGTCAAGGAAGCAAGGAACTCCCCTTTGGTTTTGACAGTGAACTCTCTGGAAACATGAATGTGTAGACATACATTTTGTTGTGGCTTCTTTTCAACAGTGAGTCAGCTGTCCAAAGAGTTTGACCCTGACTTGAGATGGACAAATCATTGGAGATCCAGATCCTTTGGGAGGAGAGAGATATCTCAGTTTTCTTGACTATATATAGTCTTGTACTTAGAAGCCAAAACAAATATTTGCCTTAAAGATCAGCTGGCCCTGGGGCCTACCAGGCTCTAGTCTTCTCCAGGAATTTGCAACTGTTGAGTAGTGACAGCAGCAGAGAAAGTGCTCAATGTATTTCATTGGCAGTAAATACAAACTGATCACATTATTAGAAGTGTGTAGGTATTGTAGGCTCAAGACACAGCTGACAACATTTCTGGATACAGGGAACTTAATATCTGAAGGAGGAGATGGGCATAAAATATAATAGGTCCATTCTTTTTCAGTATGGTATCCTTTAGCTACAGGGAGTTATTTAAGTTTAAATTAATTTAAATTAAACTCAAATATCTGCTTCCCAGTCACACCGGTCACATTTTGGATGCTCCAGAGCCATACGTGGCTAGTGGCTGCCATATTGAGCACTACCAGTACTGAACATTTCAATCAATTCAGAAAGTTCTACTGGGTAGCAATGCTTGAGGCAATTTCAGAGAGTGATTTGTGCTAGAACAACTATAAGGCTGAGGCAAAAGGGCTGACTCTGCAGCTGCTTTATAATAGGTGGTTGGAAAGGCCTCTCTGAGGTGGTGATCCTTACATCAGATCTGCAAGGAACCATCCCTGTGAACAGCAGGGACAGATCATTTGAGAGAGTGAACAGCTGATCAAAGGTCCTTTGGAATTAAGAGATCAGCATTCTGGGAGAAATGACCAGGAGGTCAGTGTGGCAAGAATATCTCTTTTCTGAGCTGGCCAGAGTCTTGTAGCAATGGGGATGAGTTTGGATTCCATTCTAAGTGCTGTAAAAAGCCATGGAAGACAGAAATGTCATGGTATGCTGAGGGTGGTGAATGGCTTGAAGAACAGCAAGAGCGGAGGCTGGGAGACCTCAGCAAGGCAGGACATGAGGATGGCTGAGATAAGGGTGCTGACTGTGAACATGGAGAGAAATACACAGATTGGGGTTCATGCCTAGGTTTCCCTTGGCTGGTGACAAAAGGAGTGAAGAATGGATGGTTGGTGAGGGAAGAGAGTGGAGGAGCTGGGATGGGGAGCAAATGCTGAGTATAAAGAGTGGGAGAATGGAGGCAGTTCCCATCACCTTTGTGCCTGGGTCAAGGGGTTGGTGTGACGCTGCATCCTCTTTTCTTTGGCCAGAGAGTATGAGAGCCTGTACTTAAGCTGGATCTGGATCCCCACCAGCTGGTGCACGGTCATTGAAGAACCCAAGTGTGACGTCACGGATGACATCACTGCCACAGTCCCTTACAAACTCCGTGTCAGGGCCACATTGGGCTCCCAAACTTCTGCCTGGAGTACCCTGAAGCACCCCTTTAATCGAAACTCAAGTAAGGCACTTTTTTCCTTACTCTCTGCTCTCCCATGCTCCCCTTCTCATGTTCACCAAGACTTTCAGGATCCTTTTTATCATCAAAATAATCTTGCAAAGCCAGAGTATGGTGGATGTAAATCACTCTTACTGATACATTTTTGAAAAATATTTTTAGTTATAGATGGACATGATACCTTTATTTTTATTTGTTTGTTGATTTATTTAATGATGTGCTGAGGATCAAACCCAGTGCCTCACATGGGCTAGGCAAGCGCGCTACCACTGAGCTAAACCCTCAGCCCACTGATATATTTTTAAAATTGCTGATCACTTCCCTCTCTTTGGTTCTTTGGCTTTGGATGTCGTTGCTGACTGTCTCGGTCAGGGTTTGTGGATGGTGGAGACATTGGCATTGGGAACCTGGCTGTTCTGGAAATAGGGAGATAGCACTAAGACTGCCTCTGACTACACCGCTCATACCTCCATAAATCTTGTACTGCCTCCCTTCTGGTGCCTCATGAATTCCATATTTACTGACTGTAAGCAACTTTGTTGTTTAAAAAGAGCTATATTTTTAATGGGTCATGAGAAATAGTACCCTTCTGTGGTTGCTGGGAAATGACTCTTCTAATTGCTATGGTACCTGGAAAATGATTGAGAAAGAAGACAAGAATCCGGGTAGGTGTTCACATATAGCTGAGTGCAAGCAATGGCCAGAGCATGAAAGGATGTGCAGAGGTGGAAAACAGTAGAAGCCAGGACTGGATGGATGGCAGAGGGTAGAGAAGCAGCTATCCATGTGGCTTTGATATGAAGCTTGTCAAGTCAACAGAAGGTAGCCATGGAAGAGAGAGGCAAGGTCTGTCTCACAGCACAATCCTTCTGGCTGCTGTGTGGAAAGTGACCTGGAATGGGCAAGCCTGTCCAGGGCAGGGGAAGAACGAGGAGAGGGTTGTAACACTCCAGCTGATTCAAGATGGAGCCCAGTCCCAAGCGAGGAGGAGAAGGAGGAGGAGGAAAGGATGAATTCAAGAGACATGATGAGTTAGAAAGGACGGGGCTTGGAGACCAGTTATTAGAAGATAGGGCCGGGAGAGATGGTGATGGTGTCCAGCTTCTGATTAGAGTCAGAGAGAATGCCATCCAAAGCAGAGACACTGGGAGGAGCAACTGGTCTTGAGCAATGAGAGACATCTCTGTCTCTGTGCCCTTTGTGATGGAGATTCCAGCAGAATAGCATGCCATGGATGCCTGACTGGCAGCTGGACATCAGGGTCTGGTCCTCAGAGGGGTCAAAGCCAGAGACACACAACATAGAGTTGTGTTAAAGATTTGGGAGAGTATAAGATTATCCAGGGAGAAGATATGAGAGACAAAGAGATCCTGGGGTCTTGGGGAACCTCAGGGTTTAACATGTCTATGGAGAGAAGGTGAATGGGCTGGGAGGTCATGGAGGGAGAAAAGGCTGAAGGAGGCCCCTGCATGGGTCCTCAAGAAAGTGACCTCATGGAATGGAGGGGATAACAGTGTGGTTGCCGGGGTGGAAGACTGATGGAGGTGGGAATCAGCCGGGCAGCTCTTCCCCTAAGCAGGTGTGGGTGAGAATGCAGATGGTTGGGAGCTGCAGGAAGAACAAGGGCAAGGGCCTTTGGTAGCCTTATATTCAGAGGTGGCAGAAGATTCTCTGCTGTGAGTGAGGGCAGAGGAAGTAATGGGGCAAGTCAGAGTGGTTAAGGAGCTTGTGACATTGTGTGGACCTCAGGAGGGCTCAGAAGGTGGGGGTGCCCAAGCAAGAGGCTGAGGAAGATGAAGACAGCTTTGAAAGGGAAGTTGGCCCCGTGGAACTTGAGGGATGTGGTTCAAATCCCAATTCAGCTACTTGATGCTTGTGTCCCTGCCTTTTCATCTGTAAAAGGGGCAACAGGTTGCTTCACTGGATAGTTGTAGGGACCACATGAGAAGAAATGTGCAAATTACTCAGCGGAGTGCTGTCCTACCATAGCACTCAACTGTGGGTAGGTGTTATCACTTTTTGCCCTAGGGATGCCTGGAGTTGAGAGCCAGAGAACAGAGGAGTGGAGGGGTGGGGCAGGAACAGGATTGTTGGAATGAAACACCAGTAGGAACTGTGGTGCCAAAAATGGATTCCTCCCTCTGGCCTCCTTCCCAGGCAATGGGAGGACTTAGTGGAAATGGCAGGATCCTAGGCACTGGGGGAGGGCACTGCAGCTCTGCCTCTGCCTGCAGTACCCAGGTAGCACCCAGCACCAACTCCCTCTGGCACCTGGGAGATGCCAAGACTATTGCTGGGGATTGGCAGCTGTTGGAAGGAAGACTGGGGTCAAATAGATAAGGGAGTGCCTTCCAAACTATGTGGGCAGGGCTGTGCTGTCAAACATGGGCTGAGAAGGCCAGAATAAATAGGAAAAGGTCTTGCTGCAGGGGGAGCTGAAGAAAAGAGCCCGTACTTGCATCAGAAGGTTGAAGATGTGTTCTTGAGCTATCCCTGCACAGTGGAGTCAGCAACTGAGCTGGGTGGCATGGTGATCTCTTAAAGGCATTCCGTCTGTCCTTTTCCGTTTGTAAAAGGCCACTCTGACTTTTCCCCAGGAATGTGAAAGATCCTTCTTTAAGGTTCCCCTATAGAGGAGCTTCTGCCCTTAAACTTGTTGGGAGCAGAGGTTCTTAGCCTCGACTGCATGCTGGAGTCGAGGAGGAGCTTAAGAACCACACTTCTGGGGCCCATTCCTGGAGGGTCTAATTTGACTGATTTGTGTGCATCCTGGTCATTGGGAGTTCAAAATTCTCCCTAGTTATTTTCATTTATAGCTGGACTTGGGATTGCCTGGTACAAAGAATAAACGCCCCTCATGGGGGAGCTAGAAACATAGACATGGGCTCAAATTCTGGTCATTAACTGTGATTCTGGGAAAGTCCCTTAACATTTCCATACAAACAGAATAATATTTACCCTCTTAGGTTTCCTGGGTGGATTAAATGAGACAAGTATGCAGAATGCTTAGGACAGAGGTTCCTGGCCCAACACTGTCAAAAAATTCTTCTCTGAAGTGAAACTTTGGGTCATTTTCTCTAATAATATCTATCCTCAATAAAGATGGAGGTCAGAGGACCTGGATCTGCAAGGCACATATGGATTCATCATCAGTAGCGAGGGGGTGGGAGCTGCCTCTGTGACCCCTTCTGTTCTTGGCCTGCTGGTGGGGATCCCTCTCTCTTTGAGATCCAAGTAATGTGAAAGATGATATTTATATTTAAGTTGTAATTTCTAGAGTCAATGTTAAAATTTGTAAAAAGCCTTTGACTTGCCAATAATATCCCTCTGTCAGGATGTGAGATAAGGCCTAGAACAGAATAGCTAACCCGTCCAAAGGCCTCTGGTTTGCACATGTCTGAAAGTATTCAGGTGCCTGTACATGCCACTGTCTATGAGAACTATAGGGATGCACATGCCCTGCCAGGTATGTTCATTCCTAAGGGGAAAAGATGGGGCCCAGCTATGCTCCACATAGACCCAAGTTCAGGCAGGTGTTTGGCAAGCATTAAGAAACGGCATCTGCTCATTAGATGAGCCAAGGAGAAGAGCAATGTCTGCTAAAAAATTGGGTTAGTGGAACCTGGAGCACACAATTTTAGAAGGGAAAGTTATAATGTCTACTTGAGTATGTAATCCATTTTCCTCTTTTCTTGAGTATATATATTTCTGGAAAAGAATAGAAGACTTTATTGAAGTTAAGAGGCCAAAAAAAAAAAGAATCATAGTAAATCTTTGCCATTTGGGTTTCATTCATTCATCATTCAAAAAGTGGTCCTGCCTGGGACTGGCTTTGATTCTGCCCTTGTCTTGCCAACAGCCATCCTCACTCCACCCAGGATGGAGGTGTCCAAGGATGGCTTCCACCTGGTTATTGAGCTGGAAGACCTGGGGCCGCAGTTTGAGTTCCTCGTGGTCTACTGGAGGAGGGAGCCTGGTGCCAAGGTGAATCGGGCTTTGGGGGGGGGAGATGGCACAGCTCTCTGAGGGTGGGTGAGGAGAGCCAGGTCCTGCAGTGCTCACTGTCTGGGCAGCCTGAGAATGAGCAGCTCTGGGTGAAGCCTGTGAAGGGAGAGATGACTGGATGCTGACCATTCCATGGGCCTCTTTAAAAAATAAAAATGCCTTAGTCCACTTTGGCCCTGGCTGGGAACCTTTTCAGGTAGATCTGCTGAAGTTTGGGGACAGCCTCATGCCCCAAACTAAGCTAGATTGACCTGGAACATCTTTTGAATGGACTTTTCCCCTCTCTCATCAGCTGATCTCCTCAGCCAGTTAGGGGAAGCAGGCCAGGGTGTTCCAGATCAACTGGATGATTTCAAGAGCCTACGAGGCTGGTACAAGCCTCTTGAGGGTGTGTATCTTGGCAAGGAACAGAAGGGAGCAGCCAGCCAGGAGCTGGCTTATGAATAAGCCCATTTAATTATGAGCAGGTAGGCCATGCAGAAAGCCCGGGAGGGAGCTGCCCCTCCCCGTGGGAAAGCTGCTGTAATCCATGTGAGTTGAGTCCAGCCCTCACAAATAGCAGCAGCAGAAGGGGTGGAGCACCAGTGGAAAGTGGGGGGACACTCAAATCCATGGAACCCCTGTCCAAGCTGAGAGGGAGACAGGGCCTAGAGGCCCGCTCCCATCAGCACCAGGAAGTAATGGGCTTTCTCAGAGTATTAATATGGGCTCTCACAGAATCCCTGAGCAGAGCTGGCAGAGTCTCCTTTCCCCAGGGCCCCCTACCTGTGGTGGCCTTGCCTCCTTCCGGTGAGTCCTCTTCCTGTGGCCCCCTGCCCAGCTTACTCCCAGGCCCTGCCCTTCATCACACCTTCCAACATATGCCTATGATTGTGCCTTCCCAGCCACTCAAGGCCTCTGAGCCTGAGGCCCCTCACAGTATCCTCTCCCCTTTATCCCTACTTCCAGATCCAGGTATTCAGTTTCCCAAGACCAAAGTCTTTGGAGAGGAATCCCATTGTTCATGCTCATCGGGCCAAGCTTAGTGGTTGCAGGGAGCTAGTTGGTCTCTGATAGGACCCTTCTCAGACCGGAGGTATCCCAGATCACTTAGTGGTGTCTGAGGGCAGTGCATATGCCCTGCCACACACTCAATAGGGGCTTTGGGTTGGGAAGTGTCCCCTGGAAGGTGGTGGGGGCAGGTAGGGCAGGCAATAATACCAGGTTCCAGCCCTTATCCCCATGAGGTCAGAGCCAACTGATAGGACATGGCATTGCCAACCAGACAGGTGGAGTGGTGCTGGGGACAGGTCAGCGCCTGGCAGGAGGCAGCACACAGCTCCCTCAGATTCTTTGGGACAGAGTGGCTCCCCACCCTTGTAACTGGCAGGGCCAGTGCTGAAAGAGAAGTATGTGCCCTGAGTCACCTAGGCTCAGCCTACACAAGCCTCTGCAGGCTCAGATGCAGAGCACAGGCCCGGGGCAGACAGTGGAAGTGGAAAGGTAGACAGCGGAGTGCATAGACAGAGGGATGGATGGGCAAGTGGGGAGGCATGGCCCACCAGCTCTGATTTTATGCACTGATCCCTGTGGCAGCAGTGACCATGCCAAATCCTTGCCCAGTCAGATTTCCAAATTTCCAGTCTCTGCTCAAGTATCATCCTTTCAGAAAGGTTTCCCCTAACCACATTGTCTAAACTAGTGCCTCCCTGTCACTCTCTAGCCCCTTGCCTTTTCTCTGCACAGCCTTTATGGCCACCTGACATGTATTTATATATTGTTGGTCTTCCCCACGAAAGCTCTACAATAGCAGAGACTTTGCCTCCTTTGTTCTGTGCTCTGTCCCTGTTCCTGGAACAGTGCCTGATACTTATTAGGTGCCTAATAAACGTGAGTGGATAAACGAGCAACTGAGTGCACACATGCATGAGTAACAGGGAACATTCTGTACACACCCCGGAAAGGAAATCTCTGCAGTGTTCCCTCCCTGACTCTCCTCAACCTTTCCAGTCTTGCTGCCCTCAGAGAATAACTGTGTTTTCTGGTCTCCCAAAGGAACAGACCAAAGTGGTGAGGAGTAGGGGCGTTCCTGTGCACCTGGAAACCATGGACCCAGGGGCCACATACTGTGTGAAGGCCCAGTCTCTGGTGAAGGTCATCGGTAGGCACAGTGCCTTCAGCCAGGCAGAGTGTGTGGAGGTGCAAGGTAAAGAAGGTCTGCCTGTTCCTTGGGCCTCCGCAGAGGTGACAGCCCCTCTTGGTGCATGCTCAGGTGCCTTTGATTCTGAGCCTTCCCTTGATTTCACAGACCTGGGTGGGTTCCGGTGGTAAACGTATGCAGGAGGCCATCCTAGCGCTGGGGGAGATTCTTGAGCAGCTGTCACTCTCCCTGTGAGAGCTTCCTCCTCCCTAGGCCAGATGTGCCAAGGCTGATGAATACTGCCTGTGATTAGAGGTGGCTGCAGGAGAGGCTGCCAGGTTCCTTGGCGATCCTGGGAAGGAGGTCATACACCATACAATGCCACAGTTTCTTTTATCTGGAAGGGGCTTTATGGAGAGTCTCCAGAAGCCTCTTGTTTCCCCCCCCCTCCTTGACATTTAAAATTTTTTTTTAATTGTAGATGGATATAATACCTTTATTTAATTTATTTATTTTTATGTAGTGCTAAGGATTGAACTCATTGCCTCACAGGTGTGAGGCAAGTTTTCTACCACTGAGCTACTCCTCCAGACCCCCCCCCCCCCCCCCCTTATAGTCTAAAAACTTAAATCGCTTGAAAACCCTTTTGGAAAAAATAAACCCAACAAAATTCTACATCCTATGATCCTGCCACCCAAATATCACTACTTGTGTGTGTGTGTGTGTGTGATCTTTTAGCCTTTTGAATAGATAGTACATTCATATGGTGCCAAAAATATGAGACACATGGAAATTTTATTTTCCATATCTCTTCCTCATCCATGTGATTCCTATACCCTCTTCCATAGATACGAACTTCTTGCATATACTTCTGAAGACTTAAATGCATATACAAGTAAATGAGAATGTATTTACATATGTTGCCTTTCCTTTTCTTTGTGGGGTGGGTACTAGGGATTGAACTCAGGGGCACTCGACCACTGAGCCACATCCCCAGCCCTATTTTGTATTTTATTTAGAGACAGGGTCTCACCGAGTTGCTTAGCACCTTGCTGTTGCTGAGGCTGGCTTTGAATTCTTGTTGCTTTTCCTTTTAGCACAAATGGTGGCATGTTCTATACATTGTTTTGGATCTTGTCTTTTTTTATTTTATATATCTTATAGATTTTGCTGTATTAATAAAGTAGTTCCTTTATCCTTCTTTATTGCTACATACTATTTCATTATATGTATATGAAATAACTGATTTAACTAGTCCCCTATTAATGGGCACTTATTTTTTCCCAAAATATTTTGCTATTACAGCCAATGCACTAATTAATTTCCTCTAATACATTGATCATTTTGGCAGGAATGGGTGTGTAGCTCAGTGGTAGAGTGCTTGTCTAGCATGCACAAGACCTTAAGTTTGACTCTCCCAACACTGTGAGAAAAAAAAAAAAGATAATTTTTCTGGTATATATTTATTTGAAGGATAAATTCTTCAAGGTAGATTGATTCAATTGAAGACATAGACCTTTAATTTTGATTGCTGTTTTCAAATTGCCCTCCAAAGGAGCATAACCCTCAGTCATTACTTACATGTGGGAGTTCTATAGCATATAAACACTGTGCCTGTTTTTCTGTTTTTTTTTTTTCTCAAATAACTAACATATCTATAACAGTTCCCCATGTAGATTTTCTGATTATTGTTTTATACACTTTCAAAAAAATCATGTCTTGTTTAAAAAACCCAATCAACACAGAAATTTTAAGAAGGGTCAGAGTTAAATATTGTCCATTCTTCCCCATACACCACTCAGGAGGTGAGTCTGGCATTTAATCCTCCCAGCACTGTCTGTGTGATTCCAATGCTCACACACACTAAGGGGCCTATCCCATACCTACTGTTCTGTGCCTGGCTTGTCTTCACTTAGTAGTATATCATGAGCATCATTTTATGTCGGTATCTTTGGGTCCACCTCAGTTTTTTAAAAATGCTGCATAATAAACCAATATATTTAATATCTTTTTATTAATGAGAATATTTTTTGTTTTCTAATCCTTTGCCGCTATAAAACATGCTGTAGTAACCAAGTGTGTATCTGTCCTGATTCTCATTTTAATAGCTGAATGACTAGCCTACCATGCTGGTGAATCCCCTATTATTGGGTATTTGAATCACTTCCGTTTGCTTTTTTTTGGGGGGGGGGGTATCAGGGATTGAATTTAGGGGTACTCAACCACTGAGTCACGTCTCCAGCCCTATTTTACATTTTACTTAGAGACAGGGTCTTACTGAGTTGCTTAGCACTTTGCTTTTGCTGAGGCTGGCTTTGAACTTGTGATTCTCCTGCCTCAGCCTCCCTATCCACTAGGATTACAGGCAGGCGCCACCACACCCAGCTTCCATTTGCTTTTGAAGATGATGTTCATTCTTTTATTAAATGAATATTTACTGAGTACTCACTGTGTGCCAAATCCTGGCCTGTGCACTTGGATACAGCAGGGAAATCCCTGCCCTCAAGAATTTCTCCTCTAGTGGAGACAGACTCCCAACAAGCAAAAGATGGGATGGTATCAGTGGGTGGCATGTGCTGTATTCCAGATGTTTCCATGAACAGACTGATGCATATAATTGTTTCCTTCCTTGGAATTATTTTTTTGGAATTGAAATCATAGGAGTGGATTGAAAGGGTATGAACATTTGTGTATCTCTCAATGTACACTGCTAAAATATTTTTCAAAATCTTTGAAACAGTATGCATGGCCCCAGCCACATGTTTGACTACCAGCTTCTCTACAACCTCTTCACATTGTGAGCAAACTGCCCGACCAGGGGGGCTTAAATGAGTTACTCCAGGTTACACAGAACAGAGATGGGAAAGTATTGCATTTCCTTTCTGCATTTCCAGATGCCCAGGTCTGTTCCTTTCTGCTACATTTACAATTACAATAATTATGGGCTTTGGAGCTAACCCTATCTGTGTGACCTGGGGTAAATTGCCTAACCATTCTGAGCATAGAATCATCTTATAAAAGCAGAGAAACTCATGCCCATTGCAAAGAACAGGGATTTACCACCCAGCCCCCAGCATAGAGCTGGAAGGAGGAGCCACATAACAGGGGCTTGATATAGCATAGTTATTATGTGACTGTTTTCCGGACTTAATATTCTCCTCCATAAGATGGATCAGTGCCAAGAGCAAATTGCGAAACACTTTGTTTTCGGTTACCACCCAGCCCGTTCTGGGGCCTGGCCCCCTGCCTTCCTCTGGCAGCTGTGCCAGGTATGTGCTAACACCACTCTTGCCTTCACACACAATGCTCCTCCCTTCCCCTTCCCGAGAAAGAGATTTTAATCTTCCCTGGGGCTTTCTGGAAACCATACCTTAATCTAGATTTTCTAGATTAAATCTAAAATTTAGATTTTAGAAAAATGGCGGTAATTTTGGTCACCAGGGCACATATCAAATCTCAGGTTTCTGGCTTTTGCCGTCTTGATTGACATTCGGAGCCAACTCCAGGGGTCAGGGGAGGCCTGGGCTTGGAGGCTTCCCCTTCATTGTGGTTTCTAAGCGTCTTCTTGTCTTTCTGTCTCCAGAAGAGGCTCTCCCACTGGCCCTGGCCCTGTTTGCTTTCCTTGGCTTCATGCTGATCCTCGTGGTTGTGCCGTTCTCCATCTGGAAAATGGGTCAGCTGCTCCGGTACTCCTGCTGCCCCGTGGTGGTCCTCCCAGACACCTTGGTAAATAAGCTTCCTCTTTTCTTGCAGCATGACACTGATCAGAGGGCTGTACCTTAGGCCTTAGGTGGGCATGGCATGCTTTTGTGGGTTTTTCAGTTTTTAGGGAAGAACACCTATAGGACTCCACTTCTGTCTCAGTCTGTATTGCTAGAATAGAATATCACAGATTGGATAATTCATAAACAATAGAAGTTCATTTGGTTCTGAGGAAAATATGATTCTTTGGGTTTGACTTATTTTGCTTACCATAATATTCTTAAGTTCCATTCTTTACGACTGGCTGAAACTCCATTGTATATATATACCACATTTTCTTTATCCATTCATCCATTGATGGACACCTAGGCTGGTTCCACAGTTTGGCTATTGTGAATTGTGCTGCTATAAACATGGGTGTGCATGGATCAGTATAGTATAACAACTAATTCTTCAGGATAAATACTAGGAGTGGTATAGCTGGGTCATATGGTGGTTTCATTCTTAGTCTTTTGAGGAATCTCCGTGCTGATTTCCATAGTGGCTGTAGTAATATACAATCCTACTAACAGTGTAGAAGTGTTCCTTTCTCTCCACATCCTCTTCAGCATTTATTATTGTTTGTGTGCTTGATGTTGCCATTCTAACTGGAGTGAGATGAAATCTCATTTTAGTTTTGGTTTGCATTTCTTCAATTGCTAATTATGTTGAACATTTTTTTAATGTATTTTTTGGCCATTTGCATTTTTTCTTTTGAGACATCTGTTTAATTCATTTGCCCATTTATAAATTGAGGGTTTTTTTTGGGGGGGGGGGCGAATACCAGGGATTGAATACAGGGACACTCAACCACTGAGCCACATCCCCAGCCCTATTTTGCATTTTATTTAGAGACAGGGTCTCACTGAGTTGCTTAGCACCACGCTTTTGCTGAGCTGGCTTTAAACTTGGGATCCTCCTGCCTCAGCCTTCCTAGCTGCTGGGATTACAGGCATGCACCACAGAGCCTGGCTGAGTTTTTTTGATGCTGATTTTTTTTGAGTTCTTTATATATTCTGGCTATTAATCCTCTGTCAGAAGAAGCAGCACAGATTTTCTCCTATTCTGTAGGTTCTCTCTTCCCATTCTCGAAGTCCTTTTACGATCTGCATCAATCCATTGGTGAAAGCAGAGCCCTCAGCTAATCATCTCTCAAAGGTCCCACCTTAAGGCTGTTGCTTTGGGAATTCAGTTTCCAATGCATGCTTTTGGGAGAACATATTCAAACCACAGCAATTTCTAATCAGAGGGTCTAGGAGAGATCTCCCTTCTCCAGGGTATAGGCACCTCCCTGAGGCCACCTCTGCTTTCTCCCAGGACCTGGCATGAACACAACCTGGTGTTTGCCCAGCCCAGGATGCTTGCCATTTCGGGAGTCATATACAGTTTTTCTCTTCTGAACTGTCCTGCTGAACCTTCTTGGTCCTTTTCTACAGTTCCAACAGTGGCTACATCCAATAACATACTCCAACACAACATATTCAACTTATCCGCCAAGGGCATCAGGGTAAAGAGCATGTGTGGGAATATGGGAAGTCTGGACTATGCTTTGTCTTTGGTGGGTATGGCGTGGGGACATGGGGGGCAATTTGGACTTCATAGTGACTCCCAAAGACTAGGGGTCCCTGCCGGTGTTCCTAGCTCTGCACTAGCCTAGGATTCTTATTCTACTCCAGGGAACACAGAGCACAGGAGTGAGTGTGCCCGGGCCATGGTGGGGATGTGTCCGTGCCATGGTGGGGAGAAGCAGAAGCCAGCAGTTCCCACACGGTGCATCTGGCCACCTCTCCAGAGCCTCCCTGGATATTCCAACTTCTATTCTGTTTTCTCCCCTGGATTTCTAAAGTGGACAAATTCTCTGAGTCAATGCATTTCCCCACAGTGCTGTGTGAGAGATAGATCATCAGTGTCCATTAAATCCCAAACACATTCTGGAGCCGGGCATCACTACCACTATCCCCCTTCTCTCAGCAGAACCTAGCTTCTCTCCGACATTTGCATTATTTATACATAATCCTCCAAACTGTTAAAAAAAAAAAAAGCGATTTCCAGCCAGCCTTGCAAAATCCACTCATCTTGCCAATTAAACCGTAGAAAATTACCAATAGGAAATCCTTGGCAATTCTCCAAAATGTCCTTCCAGGTTTGTGCTTAATTTATCTGTGTGGGTGAAACGTTACATGTCTATATCTACAATTTTACAATTGGGATGGCTGCACTCTGAAATGTGCCATGAAGAATTCTTTTCCATTAAAGTTTATATCACCATGTAACAGTCAAAGCAAAAGTACCCATGCAAGGAAAATCATGTTAATTCGGTCCAGTGTATATTCTCTATTTAAAAATATAATTTTTCCCCATGTCTTTCATCCATAGTTGCTTCCCAGGGATGGGGCTTTGGTGCTAAAGGGTCTTCCTTTCCTTTCTGTGACTGACTTCATTCTTTCTTTTCTTGCTGTCATATTCTACTATAAGGTGGGTGGCAAGCATAGAGATGGCCCCAAGTTAGTAACAATGGACCACCCCCAATGTGGCCTTGTTTGCTTCACAGAAAGTGGCAGTTGTGAGTTCAGATGCTTTTGGGGGTCAAATAGGTACTGGAAAAAAATGTCAATGCAGTACAGTGACCATCACTCAATAAGGAGAGGTGATGGACCCAGGGAAAATCATTCCATCTAAAGAAAGCAGCTGCTTTTTAGCTCCAGAAGGTTGCCACCAAGGTCTGAGCCAGTGCTGCCAGACCTCCAAGATTCATTTATTTATTTTTTGCAGTGCTGGGGATCAAACCCAACTAGACATGCATTTTCCCACCGAGCTACACCCCAGCCTGAGATCTCCAAGTTGTAAATAGGAAACCTAGAAGTTCAGATCGTTATGAGAAATCTCATGATTTTTAAATATTGAAAACATATTTTGGGGGGCCTGGGTTGTGGCTCAGTGGTAGAGCACTTGCCTAGCATGCATGAGGCACTGGGTTTGATCTGGCACCACATAAAAATAAAAACAAATAAAATAAATAAACTACAACTAAATTTAAAAAAATGATAACACATATTTTAAAAATATCATTGGAACCTTGCTTGAAAGTTCGTTCTAATTGTACAACAATGTTTAATTTTTTTTTTTGAGGGGTACCAGAGACTGAACTCAGTGGCACTTGGCCACTGAGCCACATACCCAGCCCTATTTTGTACTTTATTTAGAGACAGGTTCTCACTGAGTTGCTTAGCACACTGCTTTTGCTGAGCCTGGCTTTGAACTTGCAATCCTCCTGCTTCAGCCTCCAGAGCTGCTGGGATTATTTAATTTAAATGTTTTAGAATTGTGCTATCCATTATAGTCATATGTGATAGATTGGGAGGACAGTACAAAAGATTTGAAAATTTTCAGTAATTTTTTACTGCATGTTAAATGACAATATTTTGGTGTATCTGTTAAATAAAGTATATCACTAACAATAACTCCACCTATTTCTTTTTACTTTTTAAAATGTGCTGCTAGATTTTAAAAATTGTATATGTGGCTCTCATTGCTTTCATTGGACAGCACTGCTCTAGGATTTAAAAATAATCAAGCAAACCAGTACAGGTTTGACAGCCAGTGTCCTGAGAATCTGACTAGGACCAGCAGTGGTGAATTGATGGCTGCTCCAGGCTAACACTCCTGCTCAGAGAGCCCTTCTTGTGTGATATCTTTTCTTATTGGCTGGTGGACACCAAGAATAAACCCCTGAAGCTGCCTCTTTAGAAACAGGATCAAGGGTGATTGGCTGGATGATGCTGATGTCTAGGAGAACAAGGTGGGGGAAACCATCATGCCTGTTCATTTGTGTGCATGTACTTTAGGAGTGATGACCAGGAGGTCAGTGGGAGGTAACTATAGAAGAACACAGAGAATTTGTGGAGGTGAGCAGACTAGCAATGAAGTCCCTTTGAAAAAATGGGTATCTGCATGTTTGCAACTAGCAATGATTATGCACCAGGGTCTCAGGAAAAAAATATGAGTAAGAAAGAGACTGCATTTATGAGCACCTTCTCTGGACTTGGCACTGTGATAGCTGCTGTTCATGAAGCATCTTAGACTAGTTCATTGTTCTTAAGCTCTTGGTGGAAAATGGTTAGTTCCCTCCCCCCTCCAGAATTCTGTAATTTTGGAGCATTGATGCATCAGGGCCTGGAGGGAATAGCTTGGCAGTAAACTGGGAGATGACCTCAGCAAATGCTGGAAGTCGCTGATCTAGGGGTTGGAATTGTCTTTGGGATTTTTTTTAACAGCTTGAAATTTCATCAAATAATTGGGATTTTTGTGACATTCTTTACTCTCACTGCTTTCTACTAGTGACATCTAATAATTATTGATGAAAATTAATTTTCAGAAAATAACCAATTCACCCCAGAAGTTAATCAGCTGCAGAAGGGAAGAGGTGGATGTCTGTGCCACAGCTGTGCTATCTTCTGAGGAACTCTTCAAGGCCTGGATCTAGACCTGAGGAAGGGCCCACAGACTGGCCTGCAGGACACAGGACTCGTGAGGGGTGAGGCTGTGTTCCTGTTTTCCTCCATGGATGAAGGACAAGAGAAGTATGAAGAGCCTGCCATGTCCATGTGCGGAAGCAACTGTCAGAGGCTGAGTGTCATGCCAGTGGCACTGGTGAGAGTTCAGGAGATGTGACTTCCAGACCCGGAGCTGACATTTGCTAGCTGAGTGACCCTGGGGAAAGTGACTTCATCCCTCTGGTCCTCAGATTTCTCATCTGCAATGGGGATTAATTACGCACCTGTCTCTGCTCTCTGTCTCTCTTTCTATGTATGTAAATACATTCAGCACTTGCAGGACTGCCGGTGGCATTCATGCTGGGAAAGGCCAGTGCTCCTGGAGAGCAGGATATAAATGTGTAGTAAGAAGGACCAAAGGCCACACATGAGTTGGCTTGGGCTCCCCGCTTTCCCAGAGGAAATGGAAGAGGAAAGGAAGGATGGGAGCAAGTGTTGATCTCCCTTCAAGCCAAATGCCTATGCAGAGGTGGAGGGCTCAGCAAGCCATGGTGGGTGAACTGGAAGGCCACAGCCCCCCAACGTAGGATGTGCACCAGTGCTGGAGATCCACAAAACACCATCAAGTGTGGACTGTGTGCACATCCTGAGGATGGCAGGTAATATGTGTGTTGTGTGACGAGAGGGCAGGAGGTGGTCAGTTCCAAGTGTAATGTTTGTAGCATCTGTTTTTCCTGTGAAGTTGTCAAAGTGCAGAAGTAAAAATCAAAAGGGGTAGTCTTTTTGGTTCCTGCAAAAAAAGCGGGCTTCGGGGTTTTAGTTACATCACCAGCCCTAGGTCCAGAGAAACATACAGTACACACAGCTCTGGCTTCATGCTTCAGCCCCTAGCCACAGGCTGCTTGCTTCGGGGACAGCTTCTATTGCACAAGAGCTCCAGTTGAGTCAGGAGGCAACAAGATCACCTGACCAGGGCGCTCTTGGTTTTTCCCAGAGGCCCCTTTCCATAGGATTTCTGTGGGTACTTCCTTTTCCTTTAGGCATTCCACTCAGAGATCAGACTCTGCCTCTTCTACTCTGCTTTTCCTGTTCTCAACTCTGGAAGCCCCTACTCACTCCTCTCCCCAACCAGGTGAAGAAGAAAGCCTAAGGCTAGAGAAGGAGTGGAGGGAGGAAGTTTCTTGAGGAGTGAAGAATTGATTGTTGAGCAAGACCTGTACCTTTTTATTCCCCACTCCCTCCCAGGTCTGGAGCCTCTGAGTGGGTTCCTCTCTACCCCCACTTCCTGGCCCTTCCAGCCAGCCTGTGGTGGGGACAGTCTAACTGCCTCAACCAGATGTTTTCCCCTTTGTAACACCACCACCCCACCATCCTCTCTCCACCTGGCAGGGTCTCAAGTAGATTGGGGAGGGGCTGTGTCCAGGGATGAGATATCCTAAGAGCTTTGCCTTTATGTTCTTCTTGTTGGTTTTGACTCCTTTATGGAGAGTATGTGCGAATTTTATATTGTGCCTGAACTGGAAACATGTTCATTTTATAAAAAATAAAGACCACACGACTACATGGGTCATCCTTGATCCTTCCTCTTCCCTGCCTCTTTAATCTGTGAGTATCGTCCCTCCGTCACCTGGCCAAGCCCAGAACCAAGAAATGACCTCTGACCTCCTCTGCTTGAATCTCTCACAGGATTCCATCCATTTTTGCTAGCCTGTATAGGTACATGGAAATTTCTCTCAGTTCTTTGTTGTCTCCCCATGTCCCCAACACATGTGTTTATTGAGCCCCAACCATGCACCAGACACTGAATTAGTTCTTGATCATAGAGGGGCTGCCTCCTCTGTAGCTGAAGATTTCCTCCCTCCTGGAGCCTCTCCCTCCAATTAATTTATCCCTGTCACTTGTTCCTTTAAGTTGGGACGCTCTAACAAGTGGACGTGGGGTGCATTTAATGATAACAGGACAAGAGCTATCAACTGGGATTATTCTGGTGAGCCAGGAGTGAGCTTACCCTAGTTATAAGGCATAGCTCTGACTTCATGCTTCTTCTGGAAGCTTTAGCCTTCCAGATGCTCAGTTACCAGGCCCAGGAGCCTGGTCATCCTTGGCTTTCCTCTCACAGCCGTCATTGAGACCTACAGGCTTCTGGGGAAGAGTTGGAGGGCACTGGGTGTCTGTGAGCAGCCCAGGGTGGCTTCCTTGGTTTCAGTGATGTCTCCTGCAGCTTTTGCCGCTGCCCACCCAGGAGCTGTCCCCTGGATGCCCCAGAGTCAAGCCCAGATGTCCTGATTTTGCCTTCAGGGAACATCTCCCACTGTCCTCTGTTCCAAGAGGATTATGTTCCAACAGGACAAGGGAAAAATACTAATAATGTGATAATAAAGAAGTATATTATTTAGTGAATTAGTATATTGGGAGTTTATGAGGCTTATGGAAAAATGAAAGGTAGAGTAGAAAAATGGGGCCTGGCGGCCGGTTGAAGCTTTCTCAAAATGAAAGTGAACACAAACAATGGAACCTAAGATATCTGTTGGGTAAGTTTTTTTTCATAGCCATACAGTGTGACAAATTGCCAGTGATTCAATAACAAAGCAATTTGGCAACAAATGTTTGGAGGTATGTAGACTAATGCAAAAATGTTGTTCAGTATTTGCACTGTTAATATTGATAGTTCATTTAAAAATGCTATTCTCCTAAATTATCAGTTAGAGCAAGAAATAATTGTTTATTTTGTTGGGAACCTAGCTTTCAGGATTAGTGAAAAGGAGGGTCAGTTGTTGATCTCACAGTTTGAATAAGAACTGTATGTGGTTATGACTGAATCAAACAAGTTAATATGTAGTCATGTTTGCATAAAACAGTAAATCAAACATATTTTGGCTTTTTATTCCCCACTGAAACAGCCCATTAGAAATGTCACTGCCAAAATGCACCCCGATTCCAAGATTTTGGTTTCCGATGCTATTTTTCTACAAGTCTGGGGGCTGAAAGGTACAAGGTGATTCTAGAACACCTATACTTTGTTGGATCATAAAACAAAGCTTTAAATAATTGAGTCATTCAAACTTATCCACAACCCATCTATACAAAATGCTCCTACTAGCTAAAGGTTTGGCAGTGGGAACATCAGGAGAGGGTTGGCTGGCATCAATTGGTACAATACATTTGAATTCATCAGTCCCTAATGATATCCAACAAGAGCTGACAAGATGAATTTTCAAAGAATAATTGAATAGAATGTATTTCAGTTGGGTTGGGCTTATTAACTCATTTATTGTGTCAGTAAAAACTACTAGTAAATGTAAATGCACAATTCAGAACGTGTTTTCTCCTTCACCACCAATCTCTGGCCCCAGTCACTGCCCTCTTCCACCTGAAGGTCTGTACAGCCTCTCCAGAGGCCATCTCCAGTCTGCCCGTGCCTACATCGTGTCCTGCCAAGAGGTCCTATGGCAAAGTTCTTTTGAGTTCCTTTTGTAGACACTCTCTGCCACTCCTCCCCATCTCTTTAAAAAGGGTGTCTTTTCTTATTTCCTCCTCGCCTTATTTTATCCTTTGGCCTTTGACTATGTAAATGCTGATGATCTCTTTGAGTTTCCAGCGCCAGCTTCTGGGGCCACCTGGACGGGAGGACCTCATGACGTCCATGGGTGTCTGGCGCCACCTTGTGGTGAGTCCTGGAAAATTCCCTCTGCTGTTCCCGAGCGCAATGAAACTCCCTGGGCCTCCGGGGATAAAGGAAGACTCTGACCATTTTCCCAGAATGAGGAGTCATTTGGAAAATTCTCACGGGCTTTGACTCTAATAAACTTTCATTGTCAGTAGTGAATTGAGACCTTAGTGGCCTGTCTCTTAGCTCTGTGTCTGTGTTCTATCTGTCCCTGGCACATTGGGGGCATCACAGAGTGCCTGGCTCGCCCTGTGTACTGTGATGCCATTCCCAACTTCTTAAAAGGAGGAGGAGGAGGAGGAGGAGGAGGAGGGGG